AAGTGCTACTCATTTTTTTATATCCAGTTCTTTTGTTCAAACTTAAAATTGAAAGCTGAGAGCTTGGAAACCCCGATGACTTTGAACTCCCCACTGGGATGTGTGGAGGTGATTAGTGTATGTAAATCGTGTGAAATCACGATTGGTGGTGACTGATTGAGAGCTGACCTGATAATCCTTCCGATGAGTATGTTTGATGTGGTACTCAGAATGGAATTGTTGTCAAGATACGGTGTGATTGTTGATTGCTATCGTAGAAGAGTAACTTTGTTGACCAATTCTGGAGCGATGATTACTTATGAGGCAGGCATGAATCCAATCATGGAAGAGAGACTGCTGAGATACATCGTTGGGGGACGTAGGAACTTAGCCTGTTTTTTTTTTTCCTTTTTACTTTAGAAGGTGAACCCGAGGTAATTGGAGACAATGCGGGAATCCCTGTGGTGGACGAGTTTACAGATGTATTTCCTGATGAGTTACCTGGTTTACTGCCAGATTGAGAGATTAAATTCGGTATTGATTTGATACCGGGAACGGCTCCTATCTCTATTCCTCCTTACCGAATAGCACCTGCTGAGATGAAAGAATTGAAGAAGCAACTCAGGGAGCTAGCAGAAAAAGGATATATAAGGAATAACACTTCCCTATGGGGTGCACCAGTGTTATTTGTGAAGAAGCACGATGGATCTCTCTAGTTGTGCATTGACTATCGTCAATTGAATAGAGTAACTGTGAAAAATAAATACCCACTGCTGAGGATTGATGAGTTATTCGATCAATTATGTGGATCACAGTATTACTCTAAGATTGACTTGAGGTCTGGGTATCATCGACTTAAAGTTAAGGAGGAAGACATCCCAAAAATAGCTTTTCAAACTCGGTACGGCCAGTTTGAGTTTCTGGTGATGCCTTTCGGGTTAACAAATGCCCCAGCTGCATTCATAGATTTAATGAACCGGGTCTTCCGGCCTTACTTGTATCAGTTCGTGATTATTTTCATCGATGACATTTTGGTTTATTCGAAGACTTGGGAAGAACATGAGTAGCATTTGAGAATTGTTCTTCAGACTCTTCGTGAGCACCAATTGTATGCAAAGAAAAAGAAGTGTGACTTCTGGCTGACAGAAGTGAAGTTCCTTGGACATGTGATATCAGGACAAGGAATTTATGTAGATCCTTCAAAGATTGAGACTGTGTTACAGTGGGAAAGGCCGAAGAATGTAGCAGATATTCGAAGTTTCCTCGGACTCGCAGGGTACTATCGGCATTTTGTAAAAGACTTCTCGAGTATTGTTGCGCCGATGACTCGGTTGACCAAGAAAGAAGTCAGATTCGAATGGGACGCTGAATGCGAATATGCTTTCCAAGAGTTGAAGGTTAGGCTGACAAGTGCACTAATCCTGACTATTCCTAGTAGTGAAAAGCCATATGAAGTATATTCTGACGCCTCGAGGAATGGACTTGGTTATGTTTTAATGCAAGGTGGACATGTTATAGCTTACGCATCTCACCAATTGAAACCACATGAACGCAATTACCCCACTCATGACTTGGAACTAGCAGCGGTAATAGTTGCTCTAAAGATATGAAGATGTTATCTCAATGGAGTAAAGTTTCAGGTCTTTTTTTACCACAAGAGTTTGAAGTACTTGTTTACTCAGAAAGATCTGATCCTCAGGCAGAGGAGATGGATGGAATACATGAAAGATTATGACTTCACGCTACAGTATCATCCGAGGAAGGCTAATGTAGTAGCTGATGCCCTTAGCAGGAAGACTTATGGGACTTTGGCGTCATTAGCTTTGGAAGACTGGAAAAGAACTGAAGTAGTAAGCAAATATGATCTTCAGTACTACGAGGATTATAACCAGGCCATGGTGTATAATCTGATGTCCACACCAACCATTGTGCAACAAGTTAAGCATAATCAATGGCAGGATCCTCATCTCCAAGGGAGCTGGATTCGAATCCAGAATAGAGAGCAACTTGAGGATTGGAGAATCCGAGAGGATGGAGCACTTTATTTCCGCAACCACCTCGTTATTCCTAAGGTGGATGAGAGTAAGAAGACAATTCTGCATGAGGCCCATAAGTCACGGTACGCTATTCATCTAGGAAGTACTAAGATGTATCGAGATCTGAAGAGACAATACTGGTGGAGAGGTATGAAGAAAGACATTCGTGAACATGTTTCAGAATGTGTGACTTGTCTCCGGATTAAAGTAGAACATCAGAAACCTGCGGGAGAATTATAGCCTCTACCTGTTCCAGGATGGAAATGAGAGCATATCACCATGGATTTTCTGATGGGACTACCGAGAACTGAGCAAAGGAACGATGCCATCTAGGTGGTGGTGGATAGGTTGACGAAATCTGCACATTTCATACCGTTCCGTGCGACATATTCCCAGAAGATTCTAGCAGTATTGTACCTGGAGTATATCATCAGACTTCATGGAGTGCCATTATCCATTATGTCCGATCGTGATACTCATTTTAATGCAAGGTATTGGAAAAGTTTCTAGGAAGCCATGAGAACATAATTGAACTTCAGCACAACATTTCATCCTCAGACTGATGGGCAATCTGAAAGAGATATTCAGATTCTGGAGGATATGCTTCATGCTTGTATTCTGGACTTTGGTGGAAACTAGAAGAAGTATCTGCACCTTACTGAGTTTGCTTACAATAACAGCTATCAGGCCAATATCAGCACGACACCGTTCGAAGCTCTTTATGGTCGTCCTTGTAGATCACCTGTTTGTTGGTTGGAACCAGAGGATCAACTTACCACTGGACTAGAAGTTACTCAAGAGAATAATGAGAAGATAGCTCTTATTTGGGAACGATTGTTAACGGCTCAAAGTCGTCAAAAGAGCTATGCTCACAGAAGGCGTAGACCTTTGGAATTTCAGGAAGGCGACTTCGTTTTGTTGAAGGTTTCTCCACGCAAAGGAGTTGTTCGTTTTGGTGTGAAAGGAAAACTTGCGCCAAGGTATGTTGGACCATTCCCGATCGTACAACGAGTCAAAGTTATGGTGTATCATTTGGCTTTACCGCCTAAGTTATCTCACGTGCATGACGTGTTCCATGTCTCCATGCTTCGTAAATGTCAACCTGATCCGGAAGTCGTGGTACAATAGTATGACGTTCCAATACAGTATGACGCAACATACGAGGAAGCGCCAGTTCAGATTCTCGATCGAAAGATGAAAAGTTTACGTCACTGTGAGATTCCATTAGTGAAAGTTTTATGGTAGCACCATGGAGTTGAAGAAGCGACATGTGAGCTTGAAACGACGATGCAAGAGCAGTACCCGCATCTATTTTTGCTTTGAGGTAAGTTCTAATTTCGATGACGTAATTCTTTAAGGGGGTGGAGTTGTAACACCTCGAGAAATTAAACGAGATTAATTAAGGTAATTAAGATTTATTAGTGTGCCTAATCTGGATTAATTAATTAATTATTAGTTATTAAATGTTTTTGACGTGTAAATTTAAATATTTCCAAGGAATTTAAATTTTTTCAGTATTTATATTTTTACCCCTCAAGTGTGTGTAGACACATTTTCTAGACTGTTATTTTAAATGTTTGGACATATATTTTTCTTTTCTTTTCTTCTTTTCCTTTCTTTCCTTTCTTTTTCCCGAGCAGCATTCTCTCTCTCTCTCTCTCTCGTTCTCTCACACACTCTCTCTCTCCTCTCATTTTTGTCACAAAATCATCCGGATTTCGAATCAAAGAAGTATTTCAAGAAGTTTTCAACGTAAAGAGAATGATTTGAGGTAAGATTTCTAAAAAACCTCTCTTGATTCTTGGATTTTTCATATTAGAAACCCTATTTTTGTTCAAAATGGATTTTGATGGATTTTAGGTGAAGTCATGGTAGAAATTGGAGATTTTTAGTTCTATGAACTTGATTTAGTAACTAAAACCAAGATTTGGTTGTTTCCCCTTGAAATGTTTCAGATTTGCACTTGAAATTGTAGGAATTGGAGTTTTCTTCGCAGTTCGGTCGCTTTTTCACGAACTGCAGATCCCCACCGGTCAACCGGATCCTTCTCCTTATTGGCTTTTTCTCTCTTTAGTATCTTTTTTTCTCTCTTCGAGTTGGTGTCTCAATCTATTCATTTGTTTCAACTATTTGGACCTTTTAGGTCCAATTTAAATCAGACCCAACAATCCAAATGGGTGTTTGGTTTAGCAAAAATGGTGAGTTATTCAAACCTCTAACCCCAATTTAAACCTTTAAAATCAGAATTGATGCCCCCAATAAATTCAACCATCCGAATGGCAGTGAAAGCAACTCACTTTTTGCTTTTTCTTTCTCTTCAACGTCAAGTTTAAAAATATCATAATTTCTTCATTACAACTCCAATTGAGATGTTTTTTTTTATGTATTCATAATAAAGAGAGAGATAAATCCTCATGCGTATTTAAATTTGTCATTTACAATAAGATTTATTGTAAAACTCTGATAACAGTTTTCAATACTCTATCAAAACACAATTCGTATTTTATTTCTAATTTAAATTCTACAATTCAACCAAAAAAAATTCAAATCACCACAATTTATATTGTTAAACCAAACAAAGCCTCAGTTGCCATAGGGGTATTTTTACTTTACCATGAAAGTCATCAAATTTGGTTGTGCTCTTATTTTTTGTTTTAATTTGATATAATTACGATGGTGACCTTTTTTTTCTTTTGTAATTTTATTATTTGTTTAGTTTGAGAAGTGGATTTTTTATTTTAGCATGAGAAGCAGGAAGATCTTAAGCGACTTGGAAAACATATTACCAGGCGAGGACGGTTTCGTGGAAGTGCACTTTCCTGCAAAGATCCAAGATCAGCAACGTGGCTGCAATCTACTGGCTGTCTTTCCTAAGTTCCCAAATTCGCAAAGCATCGAATCACACCAGTTGCTAGCAGCTCCTGCCACGTCATCTCATAACCCCTGTAAAATAACAGAACCCACAGTATAAAATTAATCAAAAGGACCCACAACAACGCTAGCAGTAGATCCGACATTAGAGAATCATTCTCCCCTTGACGATTCCATAAACTTGAGACCGTGCGCCATAATCACCGATATCCCTCCCTCCCTCTGTGAAAATTTCAGGCTTTGTGATTTGATCGGAACCCTAGGGTTTTGGTCGATCTGAACCCTCAGATCTCGGAATTCGAAGAGCTCAGATTCACTCTCCGATCATCGCAGAACAAAAATGCCGTCCGTGTACGGAGCTCGCTTAACCACGTTCGAGGACTCCGAGAAGGAAAGCGAGTACGGCTATGTCCGCAAGGTTCGTATTCTATCCACATTTTTCGTCCCATCCGAAGCAATTGGATCTGTTCTTCACTGTATTCGATATCCATTTCGGTTCAAAGAATTGATTTTGATTCGTAATTGAGATCAGTTGATCGGATTATGAGTTTTGACTAGTGGTTTATTGCTTTGTGGTGTGAAATCTACTTGTCGAAGTGTGATTTTGGATTTTTCGAGGGTGAATTTGGAGTGTTTGTTTGTGATTTGATTTGACAGGTTTCGGGGCCAGTCGTCGTCGCAGATGGCATGGCCGGGGCTGCTATGTACGAGCTGGTTCGAGTTGGACACGACAACTTGATTGGTGAAATCATTCGTTTGGAAGGACATTCTGCCACCATCCAAGGTTTCTTTTACTCTTTCTTGTTTTTTAATTTATTTGTATTTGATTTGATTTCCTACAGTTCAAGTGATAGATAATCCTGTTGTGAATAATCTTTTTTTTTTTCCCTTTTTCTGTGTTATTTCAGTTTACGAGGAAACAGCTGGGCTGACGGTGAACGATCCAGTTCTACGAACACACAAGGTGAGTTTTCCAATGTATTGGGTTCGCATCTCTACTTCTCTTTTGGAAGGTTTGACTGTGTTAACTTACAAGTAGATTTCTTTTTTTTTTTTCAGCCTTTATCAGTGGAGTTAGGACCTGGAATACTGGGAACTATTTTCGATGGAATTCAGGTTTGCCTGAATCTTACCTGTAATTTAGATCGAATTATCTGCGGCTTATTAGCCATGTTTGTTGCTTAATTGATAACCATGTTTTGGATTTAGTAATATATGTATTTATATATATAATCATATTTTGGTTTCTGAATTCTTGTACATCTTTTAATAGCTTCTGTAAAAAATGTGTTATTGAAATGATCTAAACTTACGTTTCTAGAGCAGTGTTTGATGTAAATTCTGTATCTATCTTACCCTTGTGTTTTCTACTCCTATAGAGGCCTTTGAAAACAATTGCAAAAAGATCTGGTGATGTCTATATCCCACGTGGTGTGGCTGTTCCTGCTCTTGACAAAGACACACTCTGGGAATTTCAGCCTAAAAAAATAGGTAACCTTTCAATTTTCTTTTGGTGGTGGATTTTCAGAGACAGATTAAAATAAGTACTCATTCTGTTTCTTTTGATTTATGTTGTAAATTTATAATTGTTTATACTATAATGACAGGTGAAGGAGACCTTCTTACTGGAGGAGACTTGTATGCTGTAAGTTTCTAACGTGGAACAATACTTTATCCTGGTGGTTTAGAATTGTATTCTAGTACTTGATTCCTTCTTTTTCTTTCTTCAAGTTGCATCTAAGCCCCGTCATGGTCGTTTGCTTATGCAGGCCGTCTTTGAGAACAGTCTCATGCAGCATCATGTTGTGCTTCCACCAGATGCTATGGGAAAAATTACTTACATTGCACCAGCTGGCCAATATTCTCTCCAGGTTTGTCTATATGCATATTCATAGTGCTATTCTTATGTCCCTTTTTAGCATGAGTATCTCCAAGTTAAAATTTTAGCTACATATATTGCAGTGATTTTGGATTGCTCTTGAGGATAATGTTTGATGTTTATGTATTAAAGTTGCAAAACGAAAACATCCAATTTTGCTTTTATTTTTGTGACATATACAACAATCAGAATCTTTTGTTCTTTATTTATTTTGCTCTGTTTATTATTCTTTGTGGGGATATAGATTGAAGGAGGGTGTAAAAACATCAAATACGACCACAATATTTAAGAGAAAGGGTTTATGCTTGTTTTTGGTTACCTATATTTATGTTTTCTATTTCTATTGCAGGATACTGTCTTGGAGCTGGAGTTTCAAGGAGTTAAAAAGGAATTTACTATGCTTCAGGTTTCTAACTTTACCAATTGAATATGCTTTCAGTGACTACATTCTTCATTCCCCACCAACTAAAAAGTACTTACAGTTTTATTGGTTTGTACTTACTTTTGCAGACTTGGCCCGTGCGTACACCAAGACCTGTTGCATCAAAGCTTGCTGCCGATACCCCTCTACTTACTGGGCAGGTATCAAATATTTGGTTATGTATGTATATATTATATATATCCTTAGAATGATGCATTACTGACGTCATCTCTTTCATGCCAGCGTGTTCTTGATGCACTATTCCCCTCGGTGCTTGGTGGGACTTGTGCCATACCTGGGGCGTTTGGCTGTGGAAAAACAGTCATTAGTCAAGCACTTTCAAAGGTGAATTTACCAGCATTCTTTTTAATGTTCTGTATTTTGTTTGAAACTGTGACCCATTATTACAATATGTTCTTTTTGTTGTTTGCAGTATTCTAACTCCGATACAGTCGTTTATGTTGGTTGTGGAGAACGAGGAAATGAAATGGCAGAAGTATGTGTTTTCATCAGTTGGGAGTTTTAATTATAATTACGCTATATTGGGCTGATTAATTTAATAACTAATGATTAGGTCCTTATGGATTTCCCTCAATTGACAATGACATTGCCTGATGGTCGTGAAGAGTCTGTCATGAAGCGTACAACACTCGTAGCTAACACCTCTAACATGCCTGTGGCTGCTCGTGAGGCTTCAATTTATACTGGTAAGCATATTTATGGTGATATACTTTCGATGCATATTAGGTTCGGTGATCTAAATAGTGGAGTTAGTTAAGATTGTTGGAATTATGCTTTTTTAAACAGTTCACGGTTCTATTTCATAGTAAGTTGGTTTCATGAGAATAAAAGGACTTGAAGTGTTAAGATATGAAGTGGTTTTGTCTCCTGGGTAGAGATGTTGCAAAGTAAGTCAAGTATTACTTATTTTGTTTGGAGATGTGCGTGGAGTATGGAGTATAGGAAGTATACGAACTGGGAAATCGAAATGTTGTCAATGGTACCAACATTTTTTTCCCGAATGGTATGTCCGTATGAATACCTTAGGGCTCAAAAAGTATTTGGATGAAATAAAAGGAGATGCAATATAAGTACTCTTTATAAGGGTGAAACACATTTTCATATATCAACTTTTTCACTTACCTATAGATGTATACATTGTCAAATGTCACCTATGGTATTTTCTGTTGCTTAAAAGTGAGTAATCATGTTACATTTATCAGAACGTCGACATTCGTTCTTTTTGTGGATCTTAATTTCTAGGCATCACTATTGCTGAATACTTCAGAGATATGGGCTACAATGTTAGTATGATGGCAGATTCAACATCTAGATGGGCAGAAGCACTGCGTGAGATTTCAGGACGGCTGGTAATATTTTTTTCCCTATTTTATTTTTTATTTTTGTGTGGCAGGGCGTTATTGTTGTATTTTATGGACTGTTTCTTTGCTTTTCATTGGGTCTTCCACTGTAAAGTTCATTTTTCCCCCTAGGTGCATCCCTGACCCTTTTTTCTTTTCTCGTTTTCTTTTTCATCAAAGTTTTAGTAATACATTAATAACTATAAAGCTAGTTTATTGCGCATAGGTATTTGTTTGCGAATTTCACTATATGTCTCGATTTGCTTACTAAGAATAGAAATTCAACATTTGTTAGCATAAATTCAACATATATTTTTCCCCCATTTCTAATGGTAGTGGTCTTATTCTGTTACAGGCTGAAATGCCTGCAGATAGTGGTTATCCAGCTTATCTGGCAGCACGTTTAGCGTCATTTTATGAACGTGCTGGTAAAGTAAAATGTCTCGGTGGCCCAGAACGTACTGGCAGTGTGACAATTGTTGGTGCCGTATCTCCCCCAGGAGGAGATTTCTCAGATCCCGTAACATCTGCAACACTCAGTATTGTCCAGGTTAGTTTACATTGTTATGTCACATATGATTACTAGTGTTCGAGTCACATTGGTGATGTCCGGCAAGTTATATTTCCAATAGACAGCAATAATTAGCCTTTGATGCAAATTCCTCACCCGAAACAAATTTGTATTTCGGTGTGAATATGAATGCGGCAGTATTTGGGCTTGTCTTTTTCGCTCACAAAGGCATTAGTATTTTTTTCCTTCCATTTTTCGTTTAAAGTTTGATCTTGATTTCACTGCTCTCTATCTATTTCTGTAGGTCTTCTGGGGTCTGGATAAGAAGCTTGCACAGAGGAAGCATTTCCCTTCTGTTAATTGGCTTATCTCCTACTCAAAATACGCAGGGGTATGTTCATATGCTTTTGATTGAGCTCTATTCTAAGATTTTTCGTAATTTCTTCTATTATTTTTCTTTTTGGTTTTAGGCATTGGAGTCTTTCTATGAACAATTTGATCCAGATTTTATCAACATCAGGACAAAGGCACGTGAAATTCTGCAGCGAGAAGATGATTTGAATGAAATTGTTCAAGTAAGATTTCTTATTTGGATATGTTTTCTTTCTTTCTAGGTTAGATAGAATGAAATTATGCTTTTCACAAAACTATTTCAGAGTAAGAAAATAATTATAACACGGGAATTTCCTCAATGGTCCCAACTTGGTACCTCCGTTGTTCTTGCTAACAAAAACCTTTTGACTCTTCAGTGTTCCATTTTATGTAAAACTTATTACAAGCTATTATACTAATTAAAGTGCACTTCACCTTATTAGTGGCACAGTGCCACATTCTACGATTTACTGCATTTGAGAAGATAGAAATACGAATAATTGGTGACGTAAATTACAAGTGATGTTGAATTCATGTTTATATCTGACATCAGAGACACAAGGTTTAGCAAGAATTTTTTTTTTTAATTCTTTCATCTTGATATGAAATAAATAAATAAAAAAGGACAAGTTTTAGTGGTTTCTTTTCCAATGATTGAGCCCCTACTACTGTTTGGATTACGTGCAGCTTGTAGGAAAGGACGCTTTAGCTGAAACAGATAAGATCACCTTAGAAACGGCTAAGCTTTTGAGGGAGGACTACCTTGCGCAGAATGCATTTAGTCCGTGAGTCCTGTCTAGAAAGTCTCTTTTATCTGTTCAATTTTTTGTTTGTTCCTCATGTGTGTGTATATTGTATGTATGCATCGTTGATGTAGATATGACAAATATTGCCCTTTCTACAAGTCTGTTTGGATGATGCGCAATATTATTCATTTCTACAATTTGGCCAATCAGGTTGGTTCTTCCCCCTTTTTATTTATTTCTTTCTTCCCTTGGATCGCCGCCATTATTCTACTACTAATTTCTTTGAAGGAGAGTTTCTATATTTAGGCTCTCTTGCTTAAGCTCCACTGTCTGGTTGACCCGAGAAAAAGCTTTTGGTCGTCTCATCTGTCTCTGCTTATTGTGGTGAACAGGCTGTTGAAAAAGGAGCTGGTATGGATGGTCAAAAGATAACTTACACTCTAATCAAACATCGGTTGGGAGACCTCTTCTATCGTCTAGTGTAAGTAACATACATTATAATTATAAATAGGACTGCATTTTCTTGGCCCTATTGCAGGAGGTAGGTCTTGACTTGATTATGTAAACATTACAGGTCTCAAAAGTTCGAGGATCCAGCAGAAGGAGAGCCAGTTCTTGTGGAGAAATTCAAAAAGCTTCACGAGGACTTGACAAATGGTTTCCATGCTCTTGAGGATGAAACACGATGATTGAAATTCGCAAGAACTATGAGTTCTCGCATAGATTGTCGGATTTTCGGGTGAGAAGAGTTTGAGTTATCTTGTATTTTTTTTTTTCGTCGCTGATCCAAGAAACAAGGGGCGTTTTAGGTGTATGTGACGCCAGTTTGCTATGCAGATATTGCAGTTGTTTTAGTTGGGATGTGTAGCTCTGATATGTATTGTATTTCAATCTTTCCCTTGGTTGTGGAGAATAAGAGAACAAAACAAACCCGATTCCTTATTTATGTATTTATGCAATAAGGCATGTATGAGTTGCTATAAAGTGCTTTAAAAGGACTCTACATATTTATCTTCAGATCCCCATTTTTCATTCCCAGCAATTGGTATGCCAAAGCCTTTGAATTTAATATTTAAGCCATATTCTTAAGCTAACAACAGGTAAAAAATGTCCTCTTCATGTATGACTTAGATACATACTTATTTAGTTAGTCATTTTGGAAGTACTCGCTTAGTTCCCATGGTGTTCGTGTTCGTGGTTAGTAATGATTGTCCATAAGAGGTTTGGGTGTATATGTGTGGGCTCAAGTTGTGATTCTCACTAGTGGTGGTGGTGGGTCATGCCAATCCACGCATTCACTCAACATAAATGCAAGTCTATTTGGGGGTTTGCAGGCCTTAATTCGACAAAGAAACAATTAAATAGTTACTTGTTTTGCCTTTTGTAAATAACATTAATCCTTTATTGTTGTTTCGTATCCAATTTTTATTTTCTTCATATGATATAGCCCTCCAGTCACTGTTTATATTGCATGAAATTTCTATAATTTATATTGCATGAAATTTAAAGAAAAAATCCAACACGGAATACATTAATCTTCGATTGTGATATGCATATGTGAATATGCTGAACACAAACGCGACCTTTCTACAGTTGATATCTCGAGAATGAATTGTAAATTAAAATATGAGATCCTGGCAAAATAGGGGGAAAAAAAAGAGAGTAAGAATATGGGACTCAAAATTACATTTCTTTTTTCATGTTGTTATTTTTCTTCATTGTCAATCAAAATCGATAGGCAATGACGGAAAATGGAAGACAAAATTTGAAAGGGATTGTTATCTAATTTAATCCCTTCACGTCTTGTAAATGTACTATACATATATATATATATATACACACATAATATTTAGGGTTAATTTCAATAATAACACTCATGAATAAATGATTATTAATTTTAGCGTCACTTTTGTATACTTTTATAACTAGTATTGTCATGTCAGCAGTGTGAGAGAGGTAAAATGACTTCTATGCTACTTAGGTCAAAATTATCATTTAAAAGAACCTCAAAGAAATCTCAACTTTCTCCCGCCCATTCTCTCTCTCTACACCCCATTTCGGCTCTCTCTCTCTTTCAAGTTTGGCCTCTCTCTTCCATACGCCTTCATTTCCTTGTCACCAATACTCCGGTTGTGCATCAGATCGAGGTTGGTACATAGAACTCAGTTTTTTATTTTTCTTTTATTTTTTTTTAAATTTATTTTTTAGAACTCAAAAAAAATGACTGGGTTGAACTTAATGTGATAAGAATTGATACCATCCTTCGTCAATTTGAGATTTTGGATGGTTTATAATTGATATGTAAACTGATTGTAATGACCACCACGTCAAAGACACAGTTGACCTTCAGAGTCAGAGTATTATGATTCAATAGTGTTATATGTCCGGTCATAATATTATGACTAGGCAATCATAACAGTATGACTGTCTTATGACTGATGACGACTAGGAGTAATTTCATGTTGATTAATAGTTATTATTTTTAAAATTATTTAAGAATGGCTGTTGGATTGAATGTCTTCATCAAGTACAATGGACACTTCGAGATACGTCGGTTGTGAAATGAAGGGGATATTGGTCCCCACCAACACAACTTATAATAAGACATTAATTTGATTTATTCCTACATTGCAAAGAATCATGTGAGGCTATACAAAGAATCATGTGCGGTTATATATACAATCATCGAATGCTATATATAGTTACAAACATTACAAAGAATCATGTCAGGGTATACATTGTAAAAAATTAAAAAATCAAGGCAAAGCCTCACTTTTATAGCCTTCTTTTCAAAAAAATGAAGTTAGCATTGTCTTTTTAAAAAATCATGCATTCTTTTCATAGGCTAAGCATCCCATGCATCGTCTTGTTCCATATCACTTTCACAATGCTCTTTTTCTTTCCATAATGCATGGTACCACAGGTGACATGTCAGAGACTCACGGTAGAATGATAGGCGTTCCTGTGTAGCCCAATTCTCTAAGGCTTTGCCTTCCATCAAGCAATGTGCATACGTAATGGTGAACATGCCACAGTCCCCACTACAAAAAGTAGGCATAGATTAATATCAACTTACGTTAGTCCTATGAGGCGTACAGTCACATAACATTACCAAAAAAAAAATATCATTACAAAGAAAATAAAATGACTAACCCGTTGTTTTGACGTAGACAATCCATGATGGTAACTGGAATTGGATCTAGTTTATTGCCACTTCGGGGCTTAGAGTCAAACAACCCGACTTGATCGCATATAAATGGCAACATACTGGACACACATTCCACTTCATCCATGAGGAGCTCATTGTGTCATCCTGTAGATGCCATCAAGTTGTACACATTGATGGTCCAATTACTGAGGCCGAGGACAGAAAGAATCCAGTGTTTCATTCTTGGTATATTCATAGGAATTAATACCATATCGACCTCAAACCAAGACCAACCGCAACGAATCATACCACCAAATATGTACTTACTAATGTTTTCCACCTTTGTCCAGTCACATTTGGTAGAATGCGACATCTATGTGCTGTGTGTTACAATAATATACGCAATATAAGCAACACTCAATATGATCAGCAACTACAAAATGAACTGATTTAGGTAACTTACATCATCCCACAACCATACCGTCGTAGTTGTGAACTCGTAGAATCGTGACTTCTACATTACACGCATTATGCCCACGTCATATCTAACGTCCCACTTGTCCACACGGCTCATGTAATGGGAAGGACGGTTCCTGAAATTAATCACATCACACCGGCCATATATTAATATAGTTGAATGAAATGAAATACCTCAAAGATCACTATAATGGACTTACCCGGGACCAATCCTTTTAAGCAAGCCCTTTTTAAGCCACTCCTGAATACCACCAATGTTCCTGGTGCAGGAGCTTCTGAAATATATTCAAGAAGAGCCAAAATCCTAACCTTTTTCAACGGCCCAGCCATCCTCCTCGTAACATCACCATTGTTAGGGCTCAATTCGATTAGGCATTGAGTTGGCTTATGGGTCCTTTTTAGACGACTCGGCTCATTCCTTTTTATTTATACACAGTCATATAAGTCAAAATAAACCAATAATGATTTAAAAGTCACAGCACTATGACTCTGGTTATGGGCGGTCATAGTGATATGACTTGTCAGTCATATTAGTATGACCACCAAAAGGAAGTCATGACCGCCCATAAAGAAGTCATACCGTGTCATTCATAGCACACAATGAATGCTTTATGGGCGGACGATCATAGTATTATGACTCAATAGGCATAACAGTGTGACCGCCTATAAGGCAGCCATACTGTGCCAGTCAAGGCACGCGATGACTGTCTTATGGGCGGTCATATTTTTATGACTGGAGAGTCATAACACTATGACCGCTAGAGGCGGCAATACGGGTCACGACACGACAACACAAATCGAAATCGACACGAAAATTACGGGTTAGGGTTAAGAAAAATGGGGTGCGGGTCGGAATCGGGTCGACTCGAATTTGACACGAACAAAACGGGTCAATTTCGGGTTGGACCCGTATTACCCGAAATTGACCCGCAATTCAATTTCGTGTCAATTTCGGGTTCAAACCCGACCCGACCCGTAGTAACCCGTAGAAAAAGAAATATATATATATATATATATATATATAACATACTAATTACTAAACACAACTAAGTTAGTGGCCGAAACATTTTGAACTAACGCCTCTTTCTTCTTGAATCTCTGCCCTAGTTTCCTCTCTGGCCTCTGCCCTCATACTTTCGCCTCTGCTGCTCTGCGCCTCTTTCATCATCATCTTCTTCTTCTCTCTGCGCCTCTGCCGCTACTAAGGCTGATTCTTCGCCTACCCTCAGATTTCCCTCGCTACCCTCAAATTTCCACATCTCCCTCATCTCAGCTGCCGCCTGCCCTCAAATTTCCACGGTGAGTTTTCAGATTTGGAGCAACTCTCTCTCAAAATAGCGACAAGGTAAGTTATGTTCTTCTATTTTTTTCTTTTGTTGTGTTTTTCCTCTTGCTTCCATTAGAAAATGTTCGGTGCACACACATTGAAAGCTCGGCAGATTTTCAGTTTGGGGTTGACGAACTGATTGAGTTGTGTAGGAAACATGCTGATGTGGAGGCAGATTTGTCTTCCAAGCTTACAAATGTATGTTGGTTTCGAGATCTTATGCTTTATGTTATATGCCAAAATTTGTTTAGTTAATAAATTATATTTTATGCATAAACCCGAAGAAACTCCCGACTTTTCCAGAATGCTTAATTTCTTGTTAACGTGTTCAGGCTCAGAGACAATTCGATGAATGTTCTAGCTCTTTAAAATGGAACAAGGATCGGGTGGTGGGGCTTGAAATGAAGCTAACCTCATTGCAGGAGGTGATATTTCTGGGGTTTGAAAATTCTGTTGACTGTCATTCCTCGTTGTTTCCTGGATACTATATATTTCCTTATAAATGTGTAGGAGTTACGATCAACGAAAGAGGTGGCTGCAGCAAACGAGGAGCAACTCTCAGGTGAACTATCAATAGTGTGTTCTACGAGAGATCTTTCCATTCTTGGAGAAAAAATGGTCATTTGAAGATACTTGTTTATTTATTAACACCTTTATTATGTTTTATGTGAATCATTCCCAAATTTTTAGGCAAACAAACTTGTGGATCTATACAAGGAAAGTTCTGAGGAATGGTCCAAAAAGGCACGAGACCTTGAAGGCGTGATCAAAGCCTTGGAGGTGATTTTTTTTTGGTCGCCGATCTTTTATTTTAATGAATTTGAATTAGCATTTTGGGGGTTTTCCCACCTTATGTGTTCTTTTACTGCTATTTTGTGTAGACACATCTTAGTCAAGTTCAGAATGATTACAACGAAAGACTTGAAAAGGAAGTATCTGCAAGGCATCAATTTAAAAAGGTTAGCTTCTATTGTATATTTTTTCCCCAGACATGTAAAATATATTGTGTATTATGGCATATGTTTAAGTTTTCTTTTCTACCAAAAAAATTATATTTCTCACTTTTAGTTGGCAAAGAAGCTATTATTTTCCACTTGCTAGTGGAATATTAGTGACAGATCTTTGGCGATTAATGTTATCCATGGCTCTTGGTTTGGTTACTAAATGAAACTGCTTTTAGGTTTTTGAATAGGATGAGATTCAGCAGATACATAAGAGTTGGGGGAAATGGTTTTGCTTGTGAATTTAGATTATTGTATAAATTATAAGGACTATTGTTTTCCTATTATCCAAGTTATTTCAGAGCAGTCTTTTATTACATCATCATTACTTAATGTTGCTTTGAATATTATAATAATGATTGTATGAGACTTTTGTATCATTGTTTCTTTGGCCGTGTATGGTATATCTTGTTTCTTTGGCCGTGTATGGTATAAATATTGTTACTCTCAGTCTCACAAATACTAATCAGTAACCCTCTTTCCTAGATGGATTCAAAGTACTTAATCAAGATATGGATGAGCTCATCAACAATGTGGTTGATCTTAACATACATGAAGAAAAAACTGTCAACCAAGCTGCTAACTCCGGATGCGCTTGAATTTGATTTTTATTTTGGTTGTGTAATGTTTTTTTTTTTATTTGCTTCATTTGAACTATGTGGTTGTTAGGACTTTGTTATGTAGGTTTCATTTCATGTGATGTTTTCTTTTGTATGCATTTAAACTTTGTTGTTGTTAGAACTTTACAAAATGGATTGAAATCTATAATTTCGGGTCAATTTCGGTTCAACAGGTTCGTGTCGTGTCTCAGGTTCGCGGGTCAATTCGTGTCGCGTGTCATTTTCAGTTCGTGTCGTGTCAACCCGCAACCTGTACGTGTCGTGTTCGTGTCGCGGTTCTTAACTATTTTCGTGTCACGGGTCGTGTACGGGTCACACGAAAAAAAACTGACACAGTGTAAACACGACACGAACACGACACACGACACGAATTGACACCCCTAATAACCGCCCATAATACTCAATGAGACCCAACATGCAAACCAACATAAGAGATTACCAACTTACCTTTATTCTCCTTTGCTTCTTCTTCTTTCTCATTTTTCTACGTTTTCTCCTCTTCTTTCTCCTTATGCTCATCTTTCTTCCCCTCCTCCTCCCTTGCTTCTTCATTTTTCTCCTTTACTTCTTCTTCTTTCTCCCTTTTCTCCCCCTATTCCTCCTTTGCCTATTACACAACACACTAATTAGTATATTAATAACACAACATACTAAGCCAACATTCATCACAAATTACAAACATTCATTACTTTCTCATCCTTCACAATAGGTGTGGATGCTTGAACTGTAGGATCTAGTTGTGATTTTTAATGAAAAATCATTTGAACAACAACAAACTTGTAGGCGGAATTTTAAAAATTTTAACATATCCATTTAATTTCAAATTAAATGTAAACCACAACGAGAGATACATGCATGATATATGTTTATAGACAAAGGAATAAAATGACAATCATACCTTTGTGACGATTGAATCAAAAATGACCGCAAGGATCTTGTCTCACTATCTCACGTTCCGAGATGGAGAATTGCCGTGAAACAAGATCGTTGATCTATCGATACGATCACACCAAAAATCACTCGTTGATTCAAGACTATGACTCTAAGTGTTTTGGGATGAGAGAGTGGGCTCTTTTTTTAAAAAAACCTAAGGAAACAATTTTTCTTTCTATTTTGTCTCAAAATTCCGGCCACCCTAAGGAGAGAAAAGTGTGAGATTTTTTCTTCTCTTAAAAACTCATAACTAGGGTTTTCAATAATATCCTTTTATAGGAGGAAATTCAAAAACTCAAACCCTAGATGGGATTTTCGAATTTCCCCTTCTCTCTAGGATCAAAATCTGAAATTCCCCATATGGCTAGGGATTTCCGAATTTTCCTTCTCTCTTTTGGAGCAAAATTCGAATTCCCCCTTTAGCAAGGGATTTCTGAATTTTCCAAATAAAAAACAACTTTCTCTCTCTTTTGGTTGTCAAATAAAATCATGTTTAAATTTTATTTTGAATTTTAAATTAATCACTATTAATTTCAAAATTCAAATTCATTCCTTTTATTTTTCAATTATCAAATAAATGAAAAATAACACAATGAATTTTTTAAACATAATTATATAACAAAATATCAGTTTCTATTTTCCCACTTTTTAGAGCTAGCCTTGAGACCGAATGGACCCACATGAACAAAGCTATGGAATTACAATACTCGACTAACTTATCCCGATAAGTTATCGACATATTTAATTCCGACATCGCACGACTCCACTAAAAGTTCGATGCCAAATAATCTCTCGATTCATATGCGCTATTTTCTGATGGTGTTAATATAACTTATCACACGGTCCACAGAATAAATGTATTATTATCCTTCGTAAATATCAGTGAACAGAATGGTATAGAATATTACCGTTTTACCATTCCAATCATTATTTCCTCAACTCCTTTATTTGACTGTGAATAAGAAAGACATATGTTCGTAAGATGTCTCGCACATGTCACGATGTCTTAATCAATGAATATCATCATTGAATACCAGGCCTAGTTTATTTATTCACACACCCATCAATAAAGCATGAGGTGATATTATTTCTTACGAATTCCATATCTGTGAATCACATAACTCCAACTCAATTTTGTCATGATCCCAATAGCCGAGATGTTGTTCAAAAA